CGGAAGTCCATCCTTAGGAGAGAATGATCTGACCATGACAGGGGCTCAATAACTATCTCCCCTAATACCAGATCATTCTGCCACTGGCCTGAGACAAAAATCAGATCCAACGTGTGTCCACCCGTGTGAGTGGGGGCATGTATTAATTGGGTCAAGTCCAAGGCCGTCATGGAAGCCAAGAACTCCTGAGCTGCCGCCGCCGTCTCACCCACTGATGGCAGATTGAAATCCCCCAAGACCATAAGTCTGGGGGTCTCAACTGCCACCCCGGCTATCACGTCAGCCAGCTCAGGCAGGGCTGTTGATACATAGCAGGGAGCCATAGCTATGGGGAAAAGATACAAAAACTAGGGAGCTGGCAAAAATAAATTATTTTACTGAATGTAGTGATCAAACAGGCTTTAGTCAATAGGATAAGGCTTCAATCCACAGGAAAAACTCACTGAATGAAGTTCATAAGATTAAAAATATAAAAATAAAGTTAAAACCTCAATGAAATGTTTTAATATGGAATCTAATGTTAGAAAAATATCAAGTTTTTGAAACTTCTGGCTTTATTTTACTCTTATTTTAATAGCTATTATTAGTTACTGTGCTGGACCAGTCAGTTAGCTAGAAATGTGTTAGAGTATTTAGCATTTACAGGGTTAATGTTGTATCCCTAAAAGAACTGTATGTTAGAGCATTTAGCATTTAAAGGGTTAAACACTGTTTCCTTAAGAGATGGCTTATGGGGAATGTAGTTTAGCTTTTAGTCAGACCCATTTCTTATCTAGTCAGTGGGAGGGGCTTCAAAGTTTATGACTGTACTTCCTGGCTATGTTTATGTAGAAGCCATTGTGTAAGACAGACACGAGGTGGTGTATCTCATAAGAAACATGGGGTGAATCTACCTTTAATTTTTCACACCACAAGAATGGAGAAGATTATGGTATGTTCATCAGAAGAACTCTTCTTGACTGTAAGTTATTGTTTGAGATTCCTGAAGAATAAATAATCTGAATATTAGTCCATTTTTTGGAGTTTATTTGTCTGCGAAGAACAGGATGAAAGCAGATATCTTGTTTGGATCAGAACAGTTACTACTATTGCTTTTATGGCTGGATTATACTGAACTTCTAAAATATTTCTATAGGCAACCAAAAAAGCTAATACAATCTTTGGTTGTATAAATAGAGGCATAGAATCAAAATCACGTGAAGTATCAATACCACTTTATAAATCCTTAGTAAGACCACACCTGGAATACTGCATCCAGTTTTGGTCACCACATTACAAAAAATATGAGACTTTGGAAAAAGTACAAAGAAGAGCAACTAAGATGCTTAAGAGTCTGGAGACAAAAATATATAAAGAACAGTTGCAGGAATTGGGTATGGTCAGTCTAGAGAAAAGAAGGACTAGGGGTGACATGATAGCATTATTCCAGTATTTGAGAGGCTGCCACAAAGAAGAGGGGTTCAACTTATTCTCCAAAGTACCAGAAGGCAAGATAAGAAACAATGGATGGAAACTAATCAAGCAGAGAAGCAACCTGGCATTAAGGAGAAACTTCTTAATAGTGAGTACAATTAACCAGTGGAACAGCTTGCCTTCAGAAGTTGTAGGTGCTTCATCACTGGAGGCTTTTAAGAAAAGACTGGCTAGCCACCTATCTGAAATGGTATAGGGTCTCCTGCTTGAGCAGGGGGTTGAACTAGAAGACCTCCAAGGTCCCTTCCAGCTCTATTCTGATTGAAGCTAGTCATTATTTAGCAACCACAATTGGGACTGGCAACTCGTTTATGATAGGCTGCTCAAAATAATCAGTGTGGGAGCATGGATAGCATCTCTATAATATCTGCAAGCCCAATAGGGATATCTTGCCTCTTTTCTGCAAAAGAATCTGTCTATATTGCAGATTGAGCATTATTCATATAGCTGGCTACATTCCAGTTTACATGTATGTCTCAGGCAGTTCATCCTTAAGTACTTTTCTGTTCCACTATGTATTTACTTTTTTACCTTCAAAAGCAAAACATTTTAAGAACTTCCTTTCCCGTCCACAGAATGAAATAATGCAGGATTTTTTTTTCTACCAGCTACTGTCATTCTAAACAAGTAGCCTATTTCCCAGGTAGACTGCCACCAGCTAAAAAAACAATTGGATTAGATTATGTCCAAACTATGTTCCAATTACCCTTGGCCTCTAGGATAAGAAGGACAGGATGTTGGAAGAGAACCATCTTGGCTCTCTATATCCTAACTAGAAGTGCAGCCATAAAAAGATTATATGATACGGTTTCATATTTCATGAACAATACAATCATTAGAAAAATGTAATGATCTCTCTCTCTCTCTCTCTCTGTGTGTGTGTGTGTGTGTGTGTTTCTCTCTCTCTGTGTGTGTGAATGTGAGAGTTCTACTAGATGTATACTGCTTCTATCATGAATATTTTATGTATTGGAAAAGACATTTTTAAAAAATATTGTTGCAACATATATGCATCAACTTATATAACAACCCTTTCTTGTTATATGTTTAATCAATTAAGAATTCCTTCTTCAGGTGATGGTCAATTCTTAACTTTTATTTTCAACTTCTAGAAAATAGCTAAGCATTTTATGTCCTTATTAGAAATCAGCTGAATCTTCCTCCTCTTAGCAAGATAATTCATTAATATCATTTGAAACATTGAAGTGTAGCCCTTTGGATTTCCTCTTCACAAAGTACAACACCTTAAATTAGGGGTGTCAAACTGCTGGCCCGCAGGCCGATTGCATCATACAGAGGCCACACCCACCCCAGCTCCGGGAATGCAAAAAAAGTCGTGATACATCGTGACACATCATGTGACATGGCCAGTGCCTTAAATAAACCATTCTCATGATTGTGGGACAGCTGTGGAAGCTAATGAGGTGAACTTGGGAAAAAGACACAACTGTTTTAATGTATTGAGGAAAATTGCTTCCCTTGCATTTTTGCAGAATTACTCTAAGCACTATCTGGAGGTCAAATCGGAAGCACTATACAGTTCTATAGTAGACTCCAAACAGTTCTAGAACTTAAAAAATTGAACGTTTTCTTTATTTTGTGAAATTACAAAAAAAATCTGATCTGATATTTGGGGGCGGAAGTAAAGTGAAAGTTTATTATAAGCCCATCTAACACTGCCTTTAAAATAATGTATTTAGTTGGAATATATATAAATATTAACTAAATATATATTCCGGAATAACATTTCAAGTTTAAAAACAATTGGTTTGTTTATTGCATAAATTCTATATAAGGTTGAAAGGGAAGGTGAAAAAGCAAAGAAGCTTGAATTTCTCACTCTTCCCACAATCAATATTTGAGGCACATTACATCTCTAGAGTCCTTAATGGCAGGAATTCCTGGAGCCAGCAAATGAGTAATGTTAAACCTATGATTAGATGATGAGACCATCAAAACACACTAAGCTGTAATGCAGCATTCCACTTTAACTCTGTGAGCTGCAGTTAAAACAAGGAGCAGAGAAGAATATATTGTATTAGTCCAGTTTAAGCATCTGCCTATGAACAGCTTCAGTGTTCAGTGTTCAGAATTCAGTGGACTTAAATATTTGGGACTTTCTTAAACCAAGGATTTAATTATTATATAACAAGTTTTAAAAGTTTTTTTTTTGCAAGAAAAGTTTTGAAACTCAACCAGAATGAACATTCCAAATACAGACATCTTTTATTTAGAGTCCTCCCCTCTTTTTTGGGTGTGTGTGTATGTGTTTTGAAGAATCAGTTTGTGGATCATCAAAATGTGAGTAAGCAAAGTATATTTCAGTTATGAGACTTAATTCTCATTTATGACAGCATTGCACATTTTAACATCTGCAAATATAATTTTATTATTAAAATGTGGCTTTACATTTTAATAGCAAGCATACAGCTCTTGTAAATATGCCATATTTACAGGAATAAGCACTTTAACTATTATTTTATATCAGGTTTATTTAAGGGAATACAAAGAAGTGTGAAAAGAAGTAACTTTATTCAAAAGCAGATATTAGATTATTTGCAAAAAATAATATACCAGATTTAAATGACAGCTGATCTTTCAATTCAGAATAATTCTTACCTTTTGATTTATTATCTATTAGAATAAAAACAAAGTCACATCTCCAGATTTATATTTTAAATGGTTATTTTTCCTGAACATGCGTGATGCCTGTCCTACAGCAATTGCCCCAATGACTCCCAAACATGCACATCATTTATATTCATGCGCATATCTGCAATGCGTTTTAATCACATGCTTCCAATTGTCTATTAGGTGTTATATTACTATTTATCAATATCAAAGTTTTCAATGTCATGCCTTATATTAAGTGATTTTACAGGCAATATTGTCAAAAAGAAATACAAACCAAATAATTAAACAAATTGCTAATAATTGCTAATAAATTGCTGACATGAATTTTCTGTTCTTGAGATCAGTTATTATAATTCATTTAATTATGTGTTATTTTGTTAATTGGATATCACATTTTCTTGAGGTCATATTCAATGCTTATTTAAACAAAGAAAAATAAAAGTGTCATTATAATGGAGTTTATAACACCAGTTCAGTCGCTCTATGAGCTCTATAACAGTAGCAAATAGTTACTTTTTCAATATACAGGTGGAAATGCATGCATCCAATAATTGTGTTTCTCCAAAGAAAAAATGAAAGTAGTATTTGTAAAAACCAAGAATCACCTTACTTGTGAACAAAGAAGCATAACAAGTTCAACCACTGAGGTGCTTGATTTCATGCAAACCAGTCCTGTAAAAAAGTGAAAACAAAGCACTAATTATAAGTTGCAATGTTAAATTGCATTTTTTCTCAAATAGTTACATAGGTTAGATCCTGTAACATTTCAGTAAGACATATCTAGCAACGACTGCTCAGAATAATCTCCAATTATCTTAAATCAGAAACCATTTGTGACCCAATTATATGTGTTTTCCACTGAACAGTAAAGTCAACCTTATATTATATAAAACATGGAAAGAGCCACAAACTGGCACAAAAGGAATTCTATACGTTTCAGAAATACGAAGCCACGCTATTTGCTCAATTTGACACACACAGACAGAAGAACAGATTATTTCTATATTGATTGATTGAATGAATATCACATGTTGTTCTTTTATTTGAAGATTCTAGTATATAATGGAAGCTGAACTCTAGCACCAAAGCAAACTTCTTGAGTTTTAATTTTTAAATTTAAGTATCACACTATACAAGATTTCAAAGGAGGACACATACATATTTGCATATAATTGTATTATATTTGCATTTGTGTATTTACCATAATATTACCAAGACAGACAGAATGACAACATCACAAGGTCTTCATCTATATTCACTTATGCAATGATTAAGAGCAGAGATAATACTTTGAAACAACTTGGATGAGTGAGCAGTATAAACTAGTGNGATGGATGGATGGATGGATGGATGGATGGATGGATGGATGGATGGATGGATGGATGGATGGATGGACGGACAGACGGATAGAGAGACAGAAGACAGACAATACTTTGTATCATTAATAAATAAATGAGTGGTATCAATCCTGTTTAAGGCACTAATATGGGTTTATAATTAGTAGCTTAGTGATTTTCTATCAATTTATTCATTCATTTAGCAAGATCAATTACTATGCTGTACTATAAAATACTAAATATAAAACATATTATATTATGAAACTGAAAAATTAGATATTATATTTACTTATGTTATTGTTTTAAACAAAGGACATACTTTTCAACTCCCTATATATCTTAATAGTTTATGTTTAAGAATAGCCTTTTCATCAGTCAGTTTGCAGGTGTTGCCATCAAATATGCTACATATAGATTTGAAAAGATTCTTATTTTGCAAAGATATGTCCCTATAATAGTATTGAACTTGAAACAATGAATCATATTTTTATGATCACACAATTGTGTTCCAACACCTAATTGATAAGTATTCCTTGGAGTCAAAATCATATACTGTATGCCATGCTTCTGAATGATGGAAATGTTTTTGATTCTATTGCTATAGGCAAACATTGAATTAGCCTCAAGTACACTGACATATGGATGTTTTCACTTAGCAGATTATATAACAATATCTAGGTGAGAGTTAGATGTAATCTAAATGGGGCATTTCCAACTATTTGTGAAAAAAGTATAAGACAACTATAGCATTTTTCAATCTTTACAGCAACACTTTAACCAAAAAGTAGATAAAGTGCAGCAGCATCCTAATCAGCAACCTGATTTAGGCATTCCAGTGTTATTTATGCCAATGATATAGTCCTTCTGTCTACAAATTTTATTGGCCTTAGAGGACTTTGAGGATATTAGCTCATTACTGTAGTGAAGAACATTTACACATTCATTACAAAAAACCTAAAATAATAATATTTGCCCAAAGACTGAAGTTGTACAAGTGAGACATCGTTGGTTAATAGCTTGAACACTTCAAATACCTAGGAGATAGTACAGTATTCAATAGCTCAGGTAGCATGGATCACAAATGAAACTTGTAACACTGGAAAATCAAAACAAATTATTGCTTTCCTGTTTGGTCAAATCAAAGACCAAGTGACTTGCCCTTGCAAAACTTAATCTGTATCCCCTTTTTTTCAGAAATTATTGAAATAAATGAGGGTATATACAAAATTAAGATTTGCTATGTTACCATTCACAGTTCACCAGGGCACATAAAGTATATTCTGTATTTCATATATGGACCATCTCTTTCTTTATGGATCTAGAGCAATTCAGAGTGTTACCTGTATGCCACTATATTGCAAGTTTGAAGAGAAACTCAGTAGAAATATGTTACCCAAATGTTATTAAAATTTCAGAACTATTTTATTCTGTACTTTTATCAAATAAGGATGAGCATCTCGCCCATAATTTGGCAAAATTCTATTAAACAGCTTGCAGTGTCACAGAGAACACAATATCTATACAAACTGTTATTGTTGGTTGTGTGGATCAATTGCTATTGTTGACTGTGGTATATCAATATACTTTAATTTATTTATAGGAGTACATTAATAGTATGGAATTACATGTATACATTTAGTCGGTTTATGAACAGTTAATATGGTTGGCCTTCGACTGTAATACAAATTAAACATGTAAAGAAATAATAAAACAATTAGTGAATATGTACTACCTTCTATTAGAAGCTCTTGCCCATGACTGCCCAACAATGTGCGAGATAGGAATGGGGCAAAATCCACAAAGATTTCCCGAAGAAGAGGAGCCACTTTTTCCAAAGCTCTTTCAAGCTTCGCAGTTATGCTGTTGAAAGCAAAGCATAGTGAGGTAAACAAAGCCATCATTAAGCAATCCAAAGCTGTTTAAAGTAGATGGATAAAATAATTAGTAATGTAATTTAAACTAGGGCAGTGTCAGAATGCTTTGTATCTAATGAATCGGTCAGAAATTAGTTTACCCAGTTTTCACAGATTTAATAAGGGTAACATATTTCCCACAAAAAAATATGTAATACGAAGGTAAAGTCTGCTTTAAATTGATTTTGACTCTTGGTGATCTCATGGAGATAAGGGGTTTTTTTGACACATTCTGGGTTTGTCTCTATAGGTAGTCCTCGGGTTAGAATGGCAGTTGGGACTGGAATTTCTGTCAATGAGCTATGCTGTCATAAAGTGTGATGTCTTGTGACCACATCGCTTAGTAACGGCAATTCCAATAGTCCCAGGACTATGCAAGTCATTATGTGGGAAGATTCAGGAATCCTAGGTAAGGAGTGAAGGGAAATGTGTGGGTGTTGCAGGGAGAGAAGGGTATGTAGGCGAATTGTTGAGGGCTAGAGTGGGTCCTGGGGAGGGTGGGGCTGGGGCTGGCAGGGGCTGTGGGTGAGTGTTGGGAAGTGTGAGTGAGTAGGCAGGACTGAGAGCAGGCACTAGGGAATGCAGATGCGCAAGGGAGTGCTATGGGTGTGTGCTACAGAGTGCTTGAAATCTATACTGTCAGCTCTTGTATTGATTTTGTTTGTGGGAAGTTGCCAGAGAATTAAGCAAATGGCAATCACATGACACTAGGATGCTACAGTGTGATATATGCAAACTAGTTGCTAAGCACACAAATTGCAATCACATGATTCCAGGGATGGCGCAATGGCTGGAACTTTTAGGACTAGTCATAAGTACCATGTGTTTAGTGCCGTCATAATGAACGGTTGTTGACTAAATGGCCATAAACTGAAGGCTATCTGTAACTTTGAGCTTTCTTGTAGTTTCCCATTCGAGTATTAATGTTTGTCTGCCTTGCCTGTATTTGGAAATCTTCTATCTACCTTTAAAACAAATGTATTTATAGCAGGTTACTATAGGATAGAAGCTGATTTCAAACTTTCAAAAAACTCCAGAAATTCTGTTGCATGCTAATTTAAATTATTAGACCCCCACAAGTGTATTTTGATCTTTAAATGTCCTGTATCATGGTCCATATTATCTATACAAAATATTATTCTTAGCTACCAATAGGCAACAACAAACTGAAGAAACTTATAAATGCTGTTAAAAACACATGATACAGAAAACAGAATCAAACCATATCTGCTTAATTAAAAACTAACTTCACAGTCAATATAGCTTTTCTACAAAAGGACTCCCTAAATAAAATATCTGCTGAGGAAAAAAAGAGAGAATTTCATCACAGAGAATTTGGTTTTATTGCACTGGAGAAGTTCCTTGTTATAGTGACTGTAAAGGCCCTTTCTTTCATGTCTACAAATGTATTTCTAATGAAGTACAAAAATGTTTAACAACAATTATGATATTTCAATTCACCTGACCCAAAAATATATCTCAAAGATTTTATTAAACAAAATCTATGTTATGAACTCTACCAAGAAACAGAAAATAGGGAGAGAAGTTATTCTGTTGTTAGAGTATGTGCTCCTTATAACTGAACCTGGTAAATAGTCTTTTTACAGCTTCCTGAAAGAGATACAGTAGTCCAAATAATATGTATCTGTGATTAGACCAGGAATGTATTATTTAGTACACAAGGCTTAGCTATGGAAACACAGTTTCCAGCACCACTGTGATGTGGACAACTAGTTTCTGGAGTCAATAGTTTGTCTAAATGGAGTCTGTGGGCTGCCAATCACAAGGCTAAATTCCTATTTCCTGACTTTAATTTCAACTGTCTAGTCTAAGTTTAAATAACAGGATTATGATAATGCCAGTCTTATGGGACTAGGGAATTGCCAGTATGGGGCCTGTCAATTTAAACTGTTAAAGAAAAAACCTAGTTTGAGGATTTTTAGGTAAGAGGCGCAATTGTGATGCACCCTCCCAATTCACAACTTCTTTGTTCCTGGCAGTATTGGCAATGTGTTGGTCTGGAACTTCTGTTGGAATCTGAAGAATGGCAGTTATACTGTCCTGTCCCTCCCCCCCTTCTGCTTTCCTGACTCAATTTGTAGGGCCAGTAGTATCACCATCTCCCTCCCCTCAGCACCCAAAAAAGAAGTCTTTGGCATCCAGATATGGTCACATTCATCTCCCATTTCTTGTTAGTGTCACAAAATTTATCATGAGGATGCTGCATGTTCCCATCCAATATACCTCTTTTCAACCTGAACTACTGCCCTTTATTCCCAGTCAGCTCAACAAATTCATGCTGATCATTATGCAGACTCAGAAAGCGATCCTGACTGATGATTATTTAAATTAGGTAACAGTCAGTTCCTACACAAGTAAGACACTATGAGCAGCAGAAAGCTGGACTAGTAGAATGAATAAACTGTGGATTCTCCCTATGTGTTGATCATTCCCGCACAGCAATCTGGGTGACAGACTAAGGACCCTCAACATCACTGTGCTTCTGCCATTTATCCTTCTAAATATGCTGCCCATCATGCCTTACTGGATTTATAAAAAAAAACTCTACCAAACCCTGTCTGTACCCAACTCAGAATCTGAGACTTTAATCAAGAATGCCCTCCTGTATGAACTGCACTGGTTACCATTGTGCTTCCAGGTGCAATTCAAGATGCTGGTGGTTACCTTTAAACCCCTACGTAGTTTGGAACTTTGAGTACCTGAGGGATCACTTTTTCCAAGAATCTCTATCCATCCAACCAAGCCAAGCAGAATGGGCATGTTACAGATCTTATCAGCCAAAGATTGTTAGCTGGTGCGGACCAGAAGGCAAGCTTTTTCTGCAGTAGCCTCTGATTTATGGAACATCCTCCTGTCAGAGATCCGAGTGGCTTCAATGCCTGCTACTTTTCATAAGGACCTAAAAACCTGTGTATGGTCCTGGAGCCTGGGGGGGGGAATGAATGTGTTAAGAGCCTATTTCTTGTCTATATTGCTAACTGGCCAAATATCCTGTTTTTGTGTAGGTTGAATTGGATGTTTTTAATGTTTTTATTTTACAGATTTTACTGCTTTTATTATTTTAAAATGTTTTTTTAATGCTAACATATTTTCTGAATGGTAAGCCTCCCAAAGTTATTGACTGAGATGGCCAGCCACAGAAATTGAACAAATAAACAAACAAATGCTTAGTTTAGGGATCATTTTGTAAAACTGCTGGCATACAGTAGGCCTGATCACACACCTGCCTAACTAGGGGAGAGTCTGAGGGCCCAGAGTTGATCAAGTGTGGTATAAATGGACTTGGGCTTGTCCAGGCAGTAAGCAGCTGGGTCTAGCAGGTCAGAAAAGAAATACCTATTTTGTTTCAGGAGCCAGAGTTGAATTTCATGAGGTATACCTTTACCTGTTCCAGCACATGCACAACCTGAGCCTCTTATTTGGAGTAAGCAAATTGTAATTCAAGAATGTTTATGATATACTTCATTAGTTAATCTTTTTGATGTCTCAAGACTCTGCTTTTTTGTACAGATGTATATATCTATCATATCCAGACACCAGTTTGCAGTTCTAAATAGTTAGAGTAGTTAGAACCACTACTAAGAATACAGAGGTTCAAAACAGAGACTGGGGAAAGGGAAGGGATTGCAACTTTATAGCATAGTTTACTTATTTCTTTCATTAAACTATCAGTAAATTATAGGCCTAAATGAATTGTTAAATCAGTCAATCTTTAATGCAAGCTTTCTAGGTGGTAAAAGAGGCGTTCAAATTGTCTCTCTACTGCATTGCCAAGGAAGCAGAGAAAACATTGATTTCTTACTTCCTCTTATATGATCGTTTTCTGTTGTTTAATCTCATCCAAAAATCTTGTGGTACTACAGTATGCAGCCTTACAGAAACACTGTTCCAAATTTTTAACAACCTGGATTTTGTCCAAAACAGTTCAACCAACTATTTCCTTTCTTGTTATTTTCCTCAACAAAATGCTATTCTCCTCGTCAAAAGCTAAAATATATATTAGCAACTCAACAGAGAGAACAGAGAAAAACCTCTACCCTTTGTGATTGGTAGAACTCTCCCCTTGCCTTTCAGGGGGAGAGTTCCAATAATCAAAAGGTGGTAATGATCAGTGTAATATAGGTCAAAAGCACATATACTGGCCATTACAGTATTTGATTTTTCTGTTATGGCATTTATTTCCTAGTAATTCTTTCATGAAATCATTCTGTCATTTTAACAAGAAGTGCTATAAGGCAGCCGTGAAGGAGAGTAGAAAGGATTATGCTGACTCCTGACATCCCACAGCAGATATTTTAAAAGGTTATGTATGTTCTTAATATAAACATGACATTAAAAATTGAAGTTTTTCCCTAAAATTCTTCTTGTAGAGAAATGTTTTTTTTTACCCACAATGTATTGCTCAACAGATTTACATTATCTCTGGAGACATGGAAAAACCTTTTAGCAGTAGAAAATTAGTACTTTTTTATTTTACTGTTTAAACTATGTGTAGCTGCATTATAGAAACTGCAAGAAAATAAAAGTCCTTTTATGAAAAATAATACTTTGTATAAAATCCAACTTCTGAAACACTGGCAACTACAAGGAAGCATTCCAAGAACTAAAATCTTACATTGAATTCAATGGTCCTTTTTCAAACCAGAAATATGCTACGCTGTGAATCATGCAAGAGCTATACGACATTTCCTCTTTTGTAATGTTAATATAAATATAATTATAAAATTGCAAAACAAAAATTAATAAGGCACCTCATGAATAAGTGAAAAACCCAATCATGCAGATGAGGCCTTAGAACTTAGAATAACAGAGTTGGAAGGAATGTTGTAAATCTTCTAATCCAACATCCTGTTCAAACAGAAGACCCTATAGCATTCCAGATAAAGGACTATATAATCTCTTCTTGAAAACTCCAGTGATGGAGTA